TGGGGCTCCATCTCATGACCCATGAGATCACAACCTGAGCTGAAACCAAGAGTCAGAGGCTTAACCGACTGAGCCACCCAGGTGCCCCATTTGTTTGCTTTTTAGTTTGACAAAATGACAAACTGTCAGATGGAAAAGTCAGAGATGCAGGAAGCAAATACATTTATCCTTCCCCTGGGAAACATAAGGACTTTAAGAGAATCTATTGACCCCTTAACCAACTTTTATGCTACTACTTGCATGCATTTTAATTCCATACATTTGTAAACTGCACAAGACATTAATACTATGATTTTATATCATCAATTATCAGTTAGGTTTACCCACATACTTAACCATTTTCTTTGATCTTCTTTCCTTCCTGCATCTCTGATTTTTCCATCTGAGGATATTTTACTTCCGTCTAAAGTACATGCTTTAGGGGCGCCTGGGTGGCTCAGTTGGTTGGGTGACTGCCTTCAGCTCAGGTCATGATCCTGGAGTCCCGGGATCGAGTCCCACATCGAGTCCCGCATCGAGTCCCTCATTGGGCTTCCTGCTTGGCAGGGAGTCTGCTTCTCCCTCTGACCCTCCTCACTCTCATGTGCTGTCTCTCTCATTCTCTCTCTTTCAAATAAATAAATAAATCTTTAAAAAAAAATAAAGTACATGCTTTAGAAGTTCCTTCTTTTTAGGGTGTGCTAGCATCAAACCATTTAGTGTTTGTTTATTTGAAAATGTTCTTATTTTGCCTTCTTGAAGACTATTTTTACTGGATATAGAACTCTATGAGCAGATGTTTTCTTTCAGCACTTTCAGGATATCCTTCCACAGACTTGTGCCTGGGGCTCCCTTAATAATTGGGCCCCACTCCATCATTTCCTTTCTGTCTTGCATGACTATCTCTCGGCTAGGCCGGGTGCAGCCACAAGTGGTCCTTTCTTGGTAGTGGGGCAAAGCAGCCAAAAGACAAACACAGGCTCCAAGTTCTGGCAACCAAGATTAATCAGTTATCATCTACTTTATCCCTCTTATCCCTCCACCCCCTTCTCCTCCTCTCTCTGGCTCACAGGTTCCAGGTACCAGCTCTGGAAGTGCAATCGATGTCCTGAAGGTATCATCCTTTCTGATTGTAGCTAAGAGAGAAAATGATGACGACTAAAGAGCACTGGGGGGAGTTGAAATCTCAGGCATTTAACACAATCCCTAGGCACCTAATAACTATCAAACTTCTGGGGAAATCTCTGGAAGAGTGCAATCAAATTAGTAGCATCATGTAGTTAATAATAGCTATATCAATGAAAACCTCTTATCAGTAATTCCTAAAAATAAAAAATTGATGATGAATTATACTCATGAAAGAGGTAAATTTTGTGATATTTAAAATAGCGGGGTGCCTGGGTGGCTCAGTCGTTAAGCGTCTGCCTTTGGCTCAGGTCATGATCCCAGGGTCCTGGGATCGAGCCCCACATTGGGCTCCCTGCCCTGCGGGGAGCCTGCTTCTCCCTCTCCCACTCCCCCTGCTTGTGTTCCCTCTCTCGCTGTGTCTCTCTCTCTGTCAAATAAATCAATAAAATCTTTAAAATAAATAAATAAAATATCAACAAAGCTGTTAAAAATTGATGAACAATTTGCACTACAACTTCTATCACTTGGTAAGTAGTTTTATTTATATACACATTGTGATTTATTTATATTTTTAAAAGTAATATATTAAAACAATTTTTTGATTGCTTGATTTACATATTTAACATGACCATACTGGTTGCTAATCAACCCTGCCTAGGCCTGTCTCCCCAGCAGTTGTGGCACCTTAATATCCTCGGAAGACCTGATGACAAAGTAGCAGGCTGCACCATGGACCGACTACAGCAGAGATTCTCAACCTGGGCTGCATGTTAGAATTACATGGGGGAGCTCTTAAAATACACTGCTGCCAAGGCCTCACTCTAAACCAGTGAAATTAGAATCTCTGGTGGTAGGGGAAAAGTTCCTCAAAAAATTTGACATGGAATTACCATATGATCAAGCCCTTGTCCCACTTCTGGGTTTACATCCAAAAGAAGTGAATGCAGGGATTCTAACAGATATTTCATTATTCATAACAGCCAAAAGGTGGAAACTACCCAGGTGTTCATTTACAGACAGATAACAAAATGTGGTATATACATACCAACAGAATATTATTCAGCCTTTAAAAAGGCTATTCTGACACATGCTACAACATGGAGGAACCTGGAGGACATTGTGTGAAGGAAAATAAGCCAATTACAAAAGGACAAATACTGTATGATTCCACTTCTATGGGGTACTTAAAGTAGTCAAATTCATAGAGACAGAAAGTAGAATCTGGTTAGTAGGGGCTAAAGGAAAAGGTATTCACTGACAAATACTCAACCAAGTAAATTTTAAAAATCTAATTGGCTTTATTAATTGAGTCATGAATTGGGCAGCATCCCATCTGCCAAGTAGGGGGAGCTCAGTCAAGCTGTAGAAAAGGAAAGGTTTTTAAAGGTAGAAAAGGAGCATTAAAAAAGGAAGTTAGCAAAGAATCCATTATTTTAGGCATGGTTGCCCTCCTGAGGGGAACAGAGGGGCTCTTTCAGTGAATTTCTTAGTGCTGACCAGTAAATTCCATGTTGACTAGTCAAAGGTTATGTTCCTGGTGGGGGGGTGGTGTGTGCAGAGAGGCTAAATCTTCAGTTAGGTTAGGTATTAAGTCTTGGCTTGCTGACATGGGGTTCTTAACATATGTGATTCCATTTGGGGCCTGTGGTTTTCTTCCCCCCCCCTTTTTTTTTTAAAGATTTTATTTTTAAGTAATGTGTACACCCAATGTGGGGCTCAAACTCACAACCCTGAGATCAAAAGTCGCAAGCTGTACCAACTGAGCCAGCCAGGTGCCCCTGTGGTTTTCTTTTTAACAGAGGGAATGGGAAGTTATTTAATGGGTACAGAGTTTCAGTTTGGGAAGATGAAAAATTCTGGAGATGGATGGTGGTAATTGTTGCACAACAATGTGAATGTACTTAATGCCACTGAACAGTACACTTAAAAATTATTAAAAAGATAAATTTTATGTTATGACTATATTACCACACACACACACACACACACACACACACACACCCCTCAAATTCTTACCATGGCCCCTGGCTTTTTCTTTACCCTTATCACCTGCCAGTTCCTTCCCCTCATTCACAGGACTTCGATGATATTGGCATCCTTGCTGTACAAAAATGCACTGAGTATGCACTCCCTATCTGCGCTACATGGCATGCATTTTCCTCTTTTAGGTCTTTGCTCAAACAGCCCCCAGAGGGGCACGTGGGTGGCTCAGTTGGTTAAGCGTCCTACTCTTGATTTTGGCTCAGGTCATGATCTCAGGGCTGTGAGATGGAGCCCCACACGGGCCTTCGCGCTGGGCATGGAGCCTACTTAAGTTTCTCTCCCTCTCCCTCTGCCCCTCACCCCCTCCCTTTCTTAAAAAAAAAGTTTGAATATGTTCATTAATAAATTAATAGAAATGGATGCATAACGTTCAAACCAGTAGAGAAGAAGGAAGAGACAAAATTCGGTCAGGGCTGAAAAGGAGCACAGAAAGAAAGAACAAGAAAACATTACACAAAAAACACAAAATGGCATGAATAAGACTGACCATATCAGCTGGAACTATATATGTGAAAGGGTTAAACCCAGTCTTAGCTTCCTCTCTCTGCCCCTCCCTGCCTCCCACCCCTGCATTCGCACTCTCCTTCTCTAATAATAATAATAATTAAAATAAAAACAAATACCCCCCAGAAAAGCCTTCCTGACTAAGCGAAAAATAATTCTCCCTCACCCTGAGTTCTTGGCTGTGATCCTTGCAATAAAAGATTAGAGAAAAACAGATTTATCAACATGTATGCCTCACATATACATGGAAGACACGTAGGAAAAAAGTAATTCACTGAGGTTGCTTAGAATTCAGGCTTAAATACCATCTTAATAGGGAAAGGGAAGTGGGAATGTAGGTCTCTCCAGAGAATATATTTTTAGGAAAGATGAATGTGCCCTTAAGAGTAGATGGGAGATAGGACAGTTTGACAAAATTTGTCAGGAATGGGGTTTATGGCAATTGAGTTTCTTGCAGAGGATCTGTCTTTAGGCAGATAAAGGGAGCTCAGATAAAGCTTATTCCTTCATTTGCTGTTTTTCAAGTGCCTACACCTCAAAAATGATCAGTATACCAAAGCAGCATATTTTGGAGTGGCATGTCCTGAATACCTACATATTTTAGGGTGACATATTCTGTTGCCCTTCATTACAATGTAAACTTCGTGACTACAGAGACTTTATTTTACACTGCTGTGAGCAAGCTACATAACAGGTAGTCAGTAAACAGTTGTTAAATCAATGTTTGCCTTTTCTATATCATACACACATAGTATTTGTATAATTAGGATTTTAATTTCGAAAGACAAAAACCCTGTATTAAATTGAGGCATAAACTCATCATCCAAAAGAAAAATGTGCACAAGAAACATAAAGGCTCTTAAAAGGTTAATATGGAGCATTGGAGGCCAGTTCCCTAGATAGGGGCGAGCGAGAGGACCTGGGTCTTCAGCTGTGGGCCACCTGCCTTTATCCACTGCTTCTAAGACACTGTCCGAGAGAAGAGAGAACCATCTCCATAGCGAGGGGATCTAAAAACCAACACGTTCCGAAGTATCAACTACAAGCATTCGTAAAGGTCCACACACGAGACGACGTGCGGGAAATCTGGAGTCCTTAGGGAGAGGGCCGTTCCCTCACGTATGGCCAGGAGCCCATCTCAGACCTCCAGGGCTGGGGCGCCGCCCGGGTCTCTCTGGTCTGCATCTCTATGGTAGGAAGCAAGAAAACCGGAAGTGGGTCGCCGCGGGGGTGTGGGGAGGGAGCGAGGGGCGGGGCCCCAGGGGGCGGGGCCGCCGCCGCCGCCACCGCCACAGCCACCGCCACCGCCACCGCCACCGCCACCGCCACCACCTCCGTTGCGGACCGAGGCGAGATGGCGGCCACTGAGGGGGTCGGAGAGGCTGCGCAGGGCAGCGAGTCCGGTCAGCCGGAGCCGCCACCGCCCCAGCCGCACCCTCCGCCGCCTCAGCAGCAGCAGGAAGTAGCTATGGCGGCTGAGCCCGGAGAAGCGGTGGCGTCCCCTATGGACGACGGGTTCCTGAGCCTGGACTCGCCCACCTATGTCCTGTACAGGTAACGCCCACAGCAGGGCCGCGGCACCCGAGGCCCTTCCCCCGAAGGCGGGTGCTCCACCCGGCCGGCGGTTCCGGGTCGGCTCTTTTGGCCTCGGAGTGTTCGGCCGAAGTTTCCGCCGCTTCCTTGTCCGGCCAGCCGGGGTGGAGGGGGCGCGCTCGGCGGGGTCCGGGCCCGCTTGGGGCCCTAGCGCTCTTTTCGGGGTTGCTGTTCCCGGGGCCAACGCTGTCACCGAGAGACAGAGGGGAGGCCAGACATCAGAGAGCGTAGAACCTGCAACACACTGGACAGCACTCTTTCTTAGGCTGTTTAGGTGTGATTCAGGAATTTAAGAAATCTCCCGCTCTCTTTCATGCTCCCACAGCGCTAACCCTGATAATAATCTGACTGAATACCGAAGGGGTTGGGTGCTGTTTAATAGCCTGGCAGGAAATAAGATTTAAATATAAATAACCCGATTTGCTCGCTTTAAAACAAGGTGTAAGGGCTTCCCGTGGTTTGTTCTGTTAAAGTGGAGAGAGCTAGTATAAGATCTTTAAGGACTGGGACATTTTCATTCAGCATTTTCTTTAAATATTTTAGCGCCTACCATCAGACAGGCACCGACTTTAAGCTGTAAGACCGAAAAGGTATTTGTTCTTAAACTCTGTAATACATCCCTCCATCACCTCGTACATAATAAAAGTGGAATATAGTAGGCAGAGTTGGGTACTTTGTAACTTTCTTGCTTTTTCTCCCCGGTCCCACCCCTAGAAGTTCTTTGCTTTCTGGTAATGCCAGTTCCTTACCTCCAATTGCACTTGCAAAGACAATTGAGAAATCCTTGTATCTTATTTTTCTTTTGTCTTATTTTTTCTTCCGTAGTTCTAGGTAAACCCATTCGCTAGCTTATTTGCCTTCCTTGATTTTATGAATGAGTGAAAGCCACTATCCAGATTCTGTTACTGGAGTTGTTTTACACATTTAATTTGGCTGTGGTAGCCCCATAATCCTCACACCTCCTCTCTGAATTGTAAAATATTCAGCTGCTTCACTTGGCTCTGATTTTTCAGTGACTAAATGACAGCCTTACCTTTCTCATGCTACTTCCCCAGGCTCTAAGTCTCACATCTCAGGTAATTGTTTCCCTTGTATTTCTTCTGATATAATGGACACAACTTCAAGATTGTCTGGATGCCACAGAATCTTTGCTGTCAATAGCTGATCAGTATAGAGAACTAAAAGATGGGTGAAAGGAAAATAATATAAATAAGAGTGGCTAAAGCAAATTTAGTCATACTGGGCATTTTGCACAGAAATGTCTATAGGCACCTCTTGGTGCCACCATGTTATTTTAGCATTGATAATGAGAAATCATATTCATCGAATGCTTACTATATACATTTATTATATGCTATATTTATAACATGGTAATGTGTATTTCTTTTATTGATTATATACTATATACTAACAGTATATATGTGTAATATACTTACTATGTGCTTACTACCACATATTTAAGTGCTTAACATATTATCTCACTTAATCCTCCAAACAGCCTTCTAAGGTTGGATAGTAATATCATCTCCATTTTATAAATGAAGAAACTGAGGCCCAGAGAGATTAAGTAACTTTCTCAAGGTCACACAGCTGATAAGTGGTAGAGCCTAGTTCCAGCTCAGACAGTTATTAGATTTCAGAACCTGCTCTCTAAAGACCACCTGGACTACCTCTCAGTATAGTAAACTAACAGTGCTTGCTTTGATTTTAAAAATGTCAGTTCCTAGTAAATTATTACTCAGTTTTCTAAAATGCTAATTCCAAAAAGTCTTATTAGACCAATGATTTAAATTGATTTCTAATTTAAAACTATTGTGTACTTACTGCAAACATGTTTCTCCACTTACATAAAAACTTTAAATTTGAGAACTCTTCATTTATTAACTTATTTTAATGGGCAGATTATTCAATTTATGTTACTTTAAAAGTTTACTATGTTGGCGCGCCTGTGTGGCTCAGTCAAAGTGTCTGCCTTCGGCTCAGGTCATCACCCCCGGTCCTGGGATCGAGCCCCATGTTGGGCTCCCTGCTCATTGGGGAGTCTGCTTCTCTCTCTCTCCCCTGCCTGTGCTCTCTCTCTCTCTCAAATGAATAAATAAACTCTAAAAAAAAAAAAGTTTTAATATGTAAAGCAAAACGGCAAAACTTGGTCGTGAAAAAGAATCCAACCATGATTACATTAAAATATTTATAAGTTACTAATATTAATGGAAGTGTGGTTGTTGCTATTTTTTTATTATTATGTTAATCACCGTATGATTCATTGTTTGCGTATAACACCCGGTACTCCATGCAGAACTTGCCCTCTTTAATACCTATCACCAGGCTAACCCATCCCCCCACCCCTTCCCCTCTAGAACCCTCAAGTTTGTTTTTCACAGTCCATAGTCTCTCATGATTTGTCTCCCAGTCCGATTTCCCCCCCTTCATTTTTCCTCTCCTGCTATCTTCTTCTTTTTTTTCTTTTAAACATACAATGTATTATTTGTTTCAGAGGTACAGGTCTGTGATTCAACAGTCTTACACAATTCACAGTGCTCACCATAGCACATATCCTCCCCAAAGTCTATCACCCAGCCACCCCATCCCTCCCACCCCCCACCACTATTTTTAAAAACACCAGTTCTTTTTCTTCTTATGTTTTTGAATACAATCACTGAAAAAATATATGTATTTCAGGGACAGAGCAGAATGGGCTGATATAGATCCAGTGCCGCAGAATGATGGCCCCAATCCAGTGGTCCAGATCATTTATAGTGAAAAATGTAAGTTTATTTTTTATTGGGAAAAGGTCTACAAGTCAAACTTAGTAGCAGAGTTGAAATTGACAATTATCTGGTTAGGTAGATGACAGATTTTTGTCTAATAAAGAGCTAAATGACTTAAGCCAATACTCGTTTTTTAATAATTCATTTTCATGGTTAAAACTTTTATTTTGTCCAAAGAATGGACATATTCTAAGTAATGAATGCTACAGTATAGTATGTAATAGGTACTTGTGATTGTGCTTTCCATTTACTGTTTAATCTGTACACGAGATACAACATAAATGAGTTACTGTTTTATGTAGAATAAACTTTGGTTGCTGAAACTTGGGTGTTTTGAAATATGTTTCAGCAATGAAGTGTTAGGCTCAGTTGGAATACATATACTGATATTAAAATGAGTGGATTATTTTCTTTGACAAAGTGTCATTCTTTCATAATGAATGTGAATGAAAATGCTTTGTAAATTGAAGGTCATGCAAATGTTAGTTCTTCTAAGAAAGGGTACATGAATAAAATGGAATGCTAGCTTTGTATTTATATGTGTGTGTGTATATATTCTGGTTTCTGTTGGTTGTGGTGGCCTCATAATCCTCAAACCTCTGTGGTATGTGTGTACGTGTGTATGTGTGTGTTATGTACACATTTCAGTTAAGGCTTTGTTATCCACGATCATTCCTTTTTTACAAAAAGCGTCTATTGTATTCTTTTGATTATGAAGTAATGCCAAGGAATGTTTGAAAAGGAAGTATGATGGTATGAAGGTTTGACTTATCAAATATAAAAATGTACTACTAAAAATAACATGTGGAACTGGTGCAGAAATAAATAGATTAATAAGAAATCTAAAAATAGATCAGTATAGATGGGAACTTAATATGTGATAAAAAGGACATCTTATAGTTGTATGAAAAGATGGATTAATGAAATTGGTTTTGTAACAGTTGTCTGTGCATTTGGATAGAAGTAAAATTATATCCTTATCTCATGTCTTACGTGAAAATAAATTACGGATGAATTAAAGTTCTAAAACACAACTGTAAATATACGAGGAACAAAAGAATAATCTCTCTTTCTTTTGGTGAAGAAGGTATTATTAGGCAAGATGTAAAATTCAGAATTAAGGAAAAGATCAGAAGATATAACTGCATTAAAATGCAAAGCTTTCACACCATGAAGAGAGATGATATGGAGAGAGAATTCACTAGAAGAAATGGAAATATCTGTGAAGAGATGTTAACCTCACTAGTGATCAGAGAGATGAAAACCACTTTCAGATTCATTACGTACCTATAACAAAGATGTTGGAGAAACCGATACAATCATACATTTCTCTTGGGCTTAATTTAAAAAAAGCTTTTTTGCAGGGCGAAAAAGATTAACATTTAAAATTCTTAATATATCATGATTAGAAACCACAAAGGAAAAAGATGGATAAATATGACCTGTCAATCAAAAATTGATAGATTAATATATCAAAATTTAAAATCTGTACAACAGAAGACATCCATGAGCAAGTTAAAAGGGAAGCAATGGTATGGGAAAAGATACACCATATGATACAGGATTGATGTTCAGAACTTTACAAGAAATTCCTACAAAAGGTTAAGGAAACAGTCAAACAAAAAAACAAAGGGTATATGAGCTGATAGTTTACAGAAGAGAAAATTCCATTGGCTTTTAATGTCCATTATTAATATTAATGGGGGATGTCCATTACCATTAGGAATGAAAGCTATACAAATAAAATGGGAATGTTATTTCCCAACCATGCATTAAATGGTAAAAATTAAAACTATTGTACGATATCAGATCTTAGGGCATATGAACAGATACATACATTTCAGATGGTAATTTTCATGTTTAGCCATTTTGGGGTTTGGTTTAATCTAGTAAAATTGGAAAATGCTTCTATCGTATAACCTTCAAATACTGCTTCCAGTGATACATTCTGGGTGCGCTCTGGCATATGACATCAGAAGACATGTACTAGGAGGTTAAGAACACACACTTCAGAGACAGACCAACTGGTTTAAATTCTAACTTCACCATTTTACTAGCTCTATAACCTTGGACAAATTATTTAACCTATACCTTTATTTCTCCTATGCAAAATGAGGATAATAATAGTAACTATACTTGACCTTTGAATAACATGAGGGTTAGGGGTGCTGACCTCACTCCTCCCTGCTCAGTTGAAAATCCATGTATAACTTTTGACTCCTCAGAAGTTTAATTACTAATAGCCTACTGTTGCTGGAAGTCTTACTATAATAACATAAACAATCAACACATATTTTGTAGTTAAATGTATAATATACTGTACTCTGAAAATAAACTATGCTAGAGAAAAAGAAAATGATATTAAGAAAATCATAAGGAAGGGTGCCTGGCTGGTTCAGTCAGTAGAGCATAAGACTCTTAAACTAGGGGTCATGAGTTCAAGCCCCATATGGGGGTAGAGTTTAGTTTAAAAAAAAAAATCGGGGCTCTTGGGTGGCTCAGTTGGTTAAGTGTCTGCCTTCAGCTCGGGTCATGATCCCAGGGTTCTGAGATCGAGTCCCGCATCAGGCTCTCTGCTCAGTGGGGAGCCTGCTTCTCCCTCTCCCTCCCTGCTCCCCCAGCTTGTTCCTCTCTCTCTCAAAAAATTTTTTTAAAAAAAAGCTCTTAAAAAAATTCCTAAGAAAAATACAGTGCTCTACTGTATTGAAAAAAATCTGCATGTATGTGGACCTGTGCAGTTTAAACCCGTGTCATTCAAGGGCCAGTACTTTATAGAGTGAGTAAATTATATATATAAAATAATAAAACCGTCTGGCTCAGAGTAAGCACTATATGTATTAACTATTATAATTTGCAGCATTTTTTGAAAAAGCAAAATGTTGGAAGCCACTTACATATTTATGTTTTGGAAAATGGATAAATAAAGTATACATTATCATACAGTTGAATACTAGGTAACCGTTAAGAGGATCTAGATATTTTATAACATGGACAGACCTCAGAAACAATGTTGAGTGAAAAAAGCCAAGTACGTTTTAGAAACTTTGAGTATGACAGTGTATCAAATGTGTAATATTTAGTTAAAAGAATATTTTAATATTGAAAACTACAGAAAAAAATCTAATGAATATATAATTCTATTTTTATAACCCCAGATTCATTTATGAGCCTATCAACTTGACATATAAAGCCATAAGGCTGTGTATTCTCTTCCCACTTATAGAATTCTGTTCTGAAATAAAAAATAGCATTCACATGTAAGTTATGCCATGTTCTTTATATGGAATAGTGGAAAAAGAGTGATGTAGATGTGATGTGTATATGTTGGCATGGAAGAACATATCGTTGAGGAGGAAAATGCCAAAATGGAAAGCAGTATGAAAAATATTATATCAGTTTCATTAAAAATAAACAACAGGGGCGCCTGGCTGGCTCAGTCAGCGGAGCATGGGACTCTCCATCTCGGGATCATGAGTTCAAGCCCCATGTTGGGCATAAAGATTACTTAATAAAAATGAATAAATAAAAATTTTAAAAAAATAAACAACAAAACTATACACACACACACTTAGAAAAATATCTGGTAACAACCATTACCCTTGATAGAAATCCAGTGCATTGGGGAGTGGCATTGGAGTAAGGGAAACTTCATGTACTTTTGTATTGTTTACAGTGTTTGCATGGAATATATATTTCTTTTTAATTAAAAATATTTTTTGAAGTAATAAATGCTCATCTTAGAAAATTTTGAGGATGTTAAAATCAAAAGAAGACTCTTACCATCAAGAAATAGCCACTGTTACCCTCAACAAAGTAGGTTTAGAGGGAACTTATCTCAGTATAATAAAGGCCATATATGAAAAATCCATAGCTAATATCATCCTCATTGGGGAAAACCGAGAGCTTTCTTCTACAGTTAAGAACAAAACAGGGATGTCCACTCTCACCACCTTTATTCAACATAGTACTGGAAGCCCTAGCCACAGCAATCAGATGAGAAAAAGAAATAAAAAGCATCCAAATCGGCAAGGAAGAAGTAAAACTTTCACTATTTGCAAATGATGTGATACTATATATAGAAAACCTGAAAGACCACCAAAAAACTGCTAAAACTAATAAACAAGTTCAGTAAACTTGCAGGATACAAAATCAATGTACAGAAATCTGTTGCATTTTTATACACCAGTGAGGAAGCAGCAGAAAGAGAAATTAAGGAATAAATCCCATTTACAGTTGCCCAAAAAACAATAAGATACCTAGGAATACACCTAACCAAAGAGGTGAAAGACCTGTACTCTGAAAACTATAAAACACTGATGAAGGGTCCTTGGGTGGCTCAGTCAGTTAAGTGTCCAGTTAAGTTTGAAAAAAAAAAAAAACAAAACTACAATGAGATAGCACCTCACACCTGTCAGAATGGCTAAAATCAACAACACAAGAAACAACAAGTGTTGGCGAGGATGTGGTGCAAGGGAACCCTCTGGCACTATTGGTAGGAATGCAGACTGGTGCAGCCACTCTGGAAAACAGCATAGAGGTTCCTCAAAAAGTTGAAAATAGTACTATCCTATGATCCAGCACTTGTACTACTAGGTATTTATCAAAGAAATACAAAAATACTAATCAAAGGGGTATGTGCACCCTGATGCTTATAGCGGCATTATCTACAATAGCCAAATTATGGAAGCAGTCCAAGTGCCCATCAACTGATGAGTGGATAAAGAAGATGTGGTATATATATATATAATGGAATATTACTGAGCAATAAAAACAATGAAATTTGCCATTTGCAGCAACTTGGATGGAGCTAGAGAGTGTAATGCTAAGTGAAATAGAGAAAGACAAACAACATATGATTTCACTTGTGTGGAATTTAAGAAACAAAACAAATGCACAAAGGGAAAAAGACAAACCAAGAAACTGACTCTTAACTACAGAGAACAAACTGATGGTTACCAGAGGGGAGGTGAGTGGGGGGGGGGAAGGGTGAAATAGGTGATGGGGAGTAAGAAGTGTGCTTGTGATGAGCATCAGATGATGTATGGAAGTGATGAATCACTATATTTTACACCTGAAACTAATATTAAACTATATGTTAACTGATGAATTTAAGTAAAAACTTTTTAAAAAAATGTTCTTGATGATGCAGTAAAAGTTACCAGTTTAAAAAGAGAAATAGCCACCGTTAATATTTGGTATATAGCCTTCCACTCGTCTGATTATGTTTCCACTGTTTCCACAAAGTTGGGGGTTTTTTTGTTGTTGTTTTTTTAAAGATTTTATTTATTTATTCATGAGAGACAGAGGGAGAGAGAGAGAGGGAGAGAGAGAGAGAAGCAGAGGGAGAAGCAGGCTCCCAAGGAGCAGGGAGCCCGATGCGGGACTCAGTCCCAGGATCCTGGGATCATGACCTGAGCCAAAGAAGGCAGACGCTTAACCATTTGAGCCACCCAGGCGCCCCACAAAGTTGGTTTTATGCTACGTATATGTGCAAGTGTATATGTTTTGTATGTGTAGATAGGTGTGTATATAAACATATATATACATTGTATATAGAGTTAATGTGTTCTAAGCATTTTGTTATAACTTGAAAAATATTTGGGAGCTTGGTTCTTAGTTTCGTTGTTGTTTGCCACTTAAATTCTTTGTAACTTTTATTCTGGTATGATTTAAATTCATCTTTTTAAAGATAGTGTTTAGAAGTAGGTAACCTTTAATGTTCAGAATTTGTAAAGAGCTGTAATTGTTCATGTTTTCTGATAACTTCACTTTTGGGGTTATAGTCTAAGGAAACAATATGCGCATGTAATTAAAAAAAATTTTAACGCAAAGTTATTGGAAGATTAAAGCAGTGATTTCTATAAAGCAAAATTGAAAACAATCCACATTGCCATTAGTAACAGAATGGTTAAGCAAACAAAGATATTTTGACGTAGTTTCCATACATGCCTGTTAAAAGTTTTTAAACTGTCAGTAGCTGAAAAATTGTATACTGTAAGAAAAATAGCATAGTATGTCCACATACATTTTTAATTGTGGAAAAAAGTATTGAGTGTTTTAACACATGTTTTTTTTCATAGTCTGTCTTGGGGCATAATCTGTTCTCTGCCTTAAACTATACTGTGTTATGAGGGCATTTCAGCTGCAGTATCTACTAGTTCATCGTGATTAGTGGCATGGGCTTTGATGTCAGACTAGATTTGGGCTTAACTTTTTTTTAATTTAATTTAATTTTAAGCAATCTCTACACCCAACGTGAGGCTCGAACTCACAACCCCAACATCAAGAATCACATGCTTTATTGACTGAGCCAACCAGGCACCCCTAGATTTGGGTTTAACTTCTGTCTGCAAGGAACACTGACCCAATGTGAACTTGTTGATCTCTCTCAGCCTCAGTTTGTCTTGTGGAAAATGGGAATACAACAGGTTAATATTTGCCAAAGCCTAAGTTTCTTCAGTTAAGAGATTGGCAAAGATGAGAAATTTTGATATTGTCAGTGAGGATGTGGAAAAAGTAGGTTATTCATACATTCTTGGAGGGAGTATATATATTGATCAGATCTTTAATTTGACAAAACCTGTCAGCATCAACAGTGTACATCACCTTGATGCAGTAATTCTACTTGTAGGAATTTATTCTTTAGAGACACTGAATTTGCACATGTGTATACACTGATACTCAGGATAGCATACAGTTTATATTCAGGACAGCAAAAGAATGAAACATTCATTTATAGGGGACGAGTTAGATAAAATTTGAATACCATGCAGTGAAATGCTCTGCAGCTGGTGAAGAAATATGGTACACTTTGTAACAGGGAATAATGTTGAAAATTATGTCTTCTTATCCCTGTTCCTCAGCATATTCATAAATAAGCATATATTTTTAACTAAATGAATAGCATGCTGCTCTGCACCTGAGTTTTTTCACTTAACAATCTTAGCAATTATTCCAAAGTTGTACATACCAGAGCAGTCTCAATACTAACAACTGGGTAGTATGTCATTGTAAGGGTGTGCCATAATGGACTTAGCTCATTCTTTATCATTTGTTTCCAATTTTCATTTCCTTTTTTTTTTAAGCCAGTCAAATTTAGCAGTGGAGGGTTGTATACCAACTTTAGTGACACTAATGTTAGTAAGTTCTGATTAGCCCATTACCATCAGACCAGCCTTTTAAAAATTTTTTATGTGACCAAATACTCCAGTAAATTTCTTTGGATGCTTTGGATACATATGGAAGTATATTTGTAAGAAAACTTCCTGGAACTGGAATTGTTGAGTCAATGAGTATGTAAGTTTTGCACTACCTTTAATAATGTGTGAGTTAAAAAGCAAGGCCCAGAACATAGAGTGTGATGTGATCTCATTTATTTTTTTATCTTTGTGAAGATTTTATTTTAAGTAATCTCTACACCCAACGTGAGGGTTGAACTTAAAACCCCAAGATCAAGAGTTGCATGGTCTACTGACTGAGGCAGCCAGGCCCCCAATGTGATCTCATTTGTGTAAAAAATGGGATGATGTATTTAGAACATATATTTGGAAGGATACAGTAGAATCAGTTAACAGTGGTTGCTTCTTTGGAGAAAGACTGGGAATTTAGTTGAATGGCAGTTTAGTGTGAACCTTTTTGTACGGTTTGAATTTTCTACCATTGTGTACATTGCTTTTTCAGTTATGAAACTGATCAAAATACAATGTGGGAAAACCAGGTAAGTGAATATATTTGAATATATGCACTCTTAATTTTACTTTAATGCATAATGTCTTTCAGAGATTTGGAGTCTGGCACTAGCCCCCGGTACATACATGAGCAGGAAGCATAGTTACACATATATTATGGCTATGACACTAAAGCATTCTCAGGGTGGCATTCACACAGTCATTTGACTTTCTTTTGCTTATTGTTATAAATGATATAAATTCAGTATTTTTCCTCATAAGATATAACAGCATTTTGTATTATAGTGCTGAGTTTAAACAAGGAAGGTAGTCCTAATGCAGTTGTATGCTCTGTCCCCAGTTAGAGATGTTTATGATTATTTCCGGGCTGTCCTGCAGCGTGATGAAAGAAGTGAACGAGCTTTTAAACTAACCAGGGATGCTATTGAGTTAAATGCAGCCAATTATACAGTGTGGTAAGTACTACTCATCATTAATAGTCCCCATTTAAATGTCTCATGTTTTAGTTCAGATGGCTGTTTTTCATAACTAAACTTTGTTATCATAATAATAATTCACACTGTGAGTTTAAAAGTCAGAGACTGAGTGAAAAACGTCATCCTCTATTCCCTTCCTTTTCTCTACCAGTGTCCCCTCCCCAGAGGTAACAACTCTTTGCTATTTTTTTCTTAAGTTAACCTATATATTCTAAATATGCTGACCCACATTTTATAGTATTTCAGAGTACATTCCTTTTAACAGATTGCCTTTTTTTTTTTTGGTTTAGTTTCGTTTTCTTTGTGCCAGTAAGTAATTTGTCTCCCAAGCTCTCTGCTAATGTGTAAAATGTGTCATTACTGCTGAACACAACAGGTAATCCTTCAGCTCCTTTTTTTTCTTCTTCACCAGTGTAGGCACTGCATATCTAGTCTCAAGCTCGCTCATGCGTTCGATCCCCCGTCTCCAGACCTGACCTGCGTCTCTTTCTTGATTTATTCTCTCATTTCATCGACCACATCCTTGAGTAGAAGAGAACTTACAAAAGGATGTGTGCGAAATCATTTGTGAGATTTGATATACTGAAAAGTTTTAGTCTCTTCTCGACTTTATTAGTAGAATTCTATAGTAGAAATTGTTTTCCTTCAGAATTTTAAAATTGGTTTCTATTTCCTTTAGCTTCTGTTGAGAACACTCCCGTTATTTCGTTTAAACCTTTTTAGTAGGTCCAGAGAATTTTTTTATGTTCTTTTGATAATTCCTTTTCTCTTTGCCTATTTTTTCTCTTTCTGGAATGCTTCTTTTTAGTCATATGTGGTATGTTTTTGATTGCTTTTTCTTATTTTCATTTCTTTGTCTTTTCATTTACGTTTGAAATATTCCCTCAACTTTGTCTTCTGATTTCTATCTGCACTCAAAAATTTATAATTTCCAGTGGCGCCTGGGTGGCTCAGTCATTAAGCATCTGCCGAAGGCAGATGCTTAATGATCCCAGAGTCCTGGGATCAAGCCCCGCATCGGGCTCCCTGCTCTGCGGGAGGCGTGCTTCTCCCTCTCCCACTCCCCCTGCTTGTGTTCCTTCTCTCGCTGTATCTCTCTCTGTCAAATAAATAAATAAAATCTTTTTTAAAAAATTACTAATTTCCAAAGCTCTTTATTAGTTTCTGAATATTTTTTTAATAGCATCTTGTCTTTTATTTCATAGATGTGTGATATATTTTCATTTCTCTTTGTGTTTGTTTTGGTTTCTTTCTTTCATGTAAGTATTTTTCTCACATCCTTGACTCTCCTTTCAAACTCTGAAGAGGTAGGAAAAACCCTGATTGGAAGCTCTGTATGTGGCAGGACTTGTCAGCTGGCGGGCTTCACTGTGAGGTTAGTGAGTGGAGATGTGGCTGTTTTGTGCGAAATCTTCACATGTCAGCAATTCTAGATCTTTTCTTGTGGTTGGTTTGTTTCTCCAAAGAAGAGTCGTCTGATTATTGCCTGAGGAGTATGTGTTTGGCTGCCACAGTTAGGGGGGTCAGGCAGGGGAAGATTGGTTGGGGTGGGCGTTCTCAGCTGTTTAGTATATCAGTGTTTTAAATTTCCCAGTTTCTAGTCTCTTTCCTTGCCCTGTATTTCTCTTGTGTCTGGTATTCCTTTCTGCTTCAGATTTTTCCAGAGAATAAAGCCACTTGTGTCTTGCCAGGGTTTTAGAAAGAACCACAGTTATCCTTCTGTGTGTCTCCTTTACTTTCGCACAAAACACTTCACTTCTGACATTTCTGATCACCAAATGGCTTTGGGCTTTTCCCCTACCAAGCAGTTCTCTCTGATACTAGCTGTGTGTCCTGCAATTTAACTCAGTTCTGACATTGTCTAACTACCTGACTTTGAGATAACGTCAGATCCCACTGGTTAAAGGCTCAGTCCCACAAGACTGCCCCCTATTTCAGAGGCTAATCGCAAATCAGTTGTCACCTATGCTTCTAACCAATGGGCTATAAATCAGAGGTTCCCATGACCCCTTTCTAGGGTTCAGTTAATTTGCTAGAATGTTTGTTTACCAGTTTATTAAAGGATGTGATAAAAGGCTACAGATGAAGAGATATATAGGGCAAGGTCTGGCAGGGTCCCAAGCTCAGGATCTTTTGTCCTCATGGAGGATATGTCCTCTCCCAGAACATGGATAGGTTCACCCACCTAGAAACTCCAACCCTCCTAGCATTGGGATACTTTGGAGGTTCCCTCATGTAGGCACGATCAGTTATTAACTCTGTTTCTAGCCTCTATCTAGGCAGCTGGATGTGGAACTGATAATTCCAAGCTTCTGATCAAGGTTTGGTCTTCCTGGTGACCAGGAGCCACCTAAGGAGCCCACCTAGAGTTGCCTCAATAGAATGCTTCTAATGCTCTTTTTTTTTTTTTTTTTAAGATTTTATTTATATATTAGAGAAAGAGCGAGCACATGAGCAGGGTGAGAGGCAGAGGGAGAGAGAGAAGCAGATTCCCTGCTGAGCAGGGAGCCCGATGTGGGCCTCGATCCCAGAACCCTGAGATCATGACCTGAGCTGAAGGCAGACACTTAACCGACTGAGTCGTCCAGGTGCCCTGCTTCTAGTGCTCTTATCAGTTAGGAATTTCTAAGTGCTCCAGGAGCTCTGTGCTAGGAACCAGGGGCAGAGACCTATATATATTTTTTCTGTTATCTCACACCAGGCCAGTGATGCCATCACCTCTCTGCTTAAGGTTGGGGGAGGGATCTTGGCTGTTAAGAGCTCTTTCTAGATTTTATACTGGTTTTTTTTTTTTAAAGGGTGCAGCAGTTTTGTTTTGTTTTGTTTTTAAGGGAGAAGGAGGATTTTATTTTATTTTTTTAAGGATTTTATTTATTTATTTGACAGAGGGAGAGAGACAGCGAGAGAGGGAACACAAGCAGGGGGAGTGGCAGAGGGAGAAGCAGGCTTCCTGCGGAGCAGGGAGCCCGATGCGGGGCTCGATCCCAGGACCCTGGGACCATGACCTGAGCCGAAGGCAGACACGACTGAGCCACCCAGGCACCCCAGTTTTGTTTTTTTATTAAAGATTTTATTTATTTGACAGAGAGAGAGAGAGAGCACATGTAGGCAGAGAGGCAGGCAGAGGGAGAGGGAGAAGCAGACTCTCCACTGAGCAGGGAGCCCAATGCGGGGCTCGATCCCAGTACCCTGGGATCATGACCTGAGCCGAAGGCAGCCGCTTAACCGACTGAGCCACCCAGGCACCCCTAGATTTTATACTGTTTTTAACCCCATACTTGATTCGCAATTTTGAGGATACCTGACACCTGATTTCTGAACCTTTCTTCCTCTGTTGACAGGTTTTTAGCACTTTCTTTTTCAAAGTCAGTTAAAACTTGTCTGTCAGCTTACCATTTTCCATAATTTTGTTGACCTCTTCCAAATGCTGTGATATCCCTTTGTTCCTAATTCTCTTTGTCTTTGTGGTTTATACTGTTATTTATTCCCTTACTGTCATTTTTGTGGGGTTTTATTAGGGTGTCAGGATAAACTTATTCATTTAATCTACCATGTTTCACTGGAATTCTTAGTATGATATTCCATCATTTTATATCTCTGATATGCACTTTATCATCTTTTAAGAAATTCCTGACCATACATAACACAAAGTAACTGAGAATGTATTTTAAAATTTCCTAAGTTTATTTGCTGTTTTTTTAAAGGCAATATACTGGATAACATTACTCATGTAAACCAAGCTGCTTGTTTATGGCCATGCTTTATGAAGCCTAGTTTTCCTTAAACTAATAAAATAGAGAAATACTGTTATCTGTCCTATTTAGCATTTAATTTTAAAAGATACTTTTAAAGCAGCTGTTTGTCTTTTATTATACATTGAGTTGGAAATTTTGAAGTAAAAATAGACCAGAACTAATAATCATGTTTTTAGAGAAAAGGTTTTTTTAATGATTCGATTCTGCCTATGAAGAAATTAAGAGAAGCTTGTTTCATATATAAATAGCATATTTGTGGTGGCTCTGAAAACAAAATATTTGATAATGTTTGTAATGGAATTAATTTATTATATGAGTGATATATCTGAACGAATAAGCTGTACCATATAGGGAAATATTATAGGGAAAGAGATGTCTTTGATTCTCCTGTAATAGAACACTCGTAACCAGAGTGTTACCTAAAAATAATCACTAGTTGGTTGTCTTTTTCTCCTCTCTCAACATTTGTTGCCTTTCACTGTTTTACTTCAAAATGCTTGATTCTTCCAATCACCAGATAGTTGTATGAGTTTGGAAAACCAAATGCAGTTACATTGCTAAATTATTGGTTATATAGACTATCTACCAAAAAAAGAAGTGTGTCTAACTATGTTGTTTTACCTTCATCAGATACTGTGGCTAGGCAGTTTACATAGAGTAATGAAACAATGCTTGGTGTTTGCTATAGGCATTTTCGGAGAGTTCTCTTAAAGTCACTTCAAAAGGATCTACATGAGGAAATGAACTACATCACTGCAATAATTGAGGAACAGCCCAAAAACTATCAAGTTTGGTAAGATGAAAATAGGAAAGAAATATGTCATTATGTTAATATTATCTGCCAAGTGGGTGATGAGATTATAGGGAATTGTTTGTTTTTTTTTATAATTTTAGTACTTTGCATTGGAGCTAATGTTACCTGTCTCATAGGGTTGTTAGGATTAAATGAGATTTTTCTTTTTTAAGAGAGGAGAGTAGGGTGGGGGAGCAGAGGGAGAGGGAGAGAAAGAGAATCTTAAGCAATCTCCACATCCAGCAAGGAGCCCCTCGATTTCACGACCGCTGAAATCAGGAGTTGGATGTTTAACCAGCTGAGCCACCCAGGTGCTCCTAAATGGTATGATTTTATGTTTAGTGCTTAAAGGGGTGCCTAACCTCGAGTTAACACTCAAATATGTGTACTGCTATTATTATTTAAAAATTTGACATTAGCATATAATACAGTTGGAAAAGTTTTGAGTAAGGAATCTGAAAAAATGTTTTCTATCCAGTGTGTTAAAAAATGACTTTCTGGTATTTGATCTTTCATTCATTTGTTTATTCAAAATTTTTTTGTGGGGGATGCCGGGGATACAAAGATGAACCACACAGTCTAACAGGGAAAGCACATAATAAAGCCATTTATCTTACAGTGCAGTGTGAAAACCACAATGGTGCAGTGTTTTACAGAGTCTATTTTTTTCTAGAAACTAGACCCTAAGTTAGCATAGACAAAACTGTAGGGATTATTATGGGTGAGGTGGACAGAACACAGTGGAGGAAAAAAAGAGGCATTATGGAGCAGGAGGACAGAGAACAAATAGGAAAGAAATAGAGTTTGAACAGTACCTGGCATATAGTGAGCACCCCTTGAATGGAAGCTACTGTGGTTGCTGTTATTTTAGAGATGGAGGAGGAGGTACTGCTGGTGGTAGTGGTGAGGGTCAACTTGACATGCTGAAGGACCTAATTCTTAAGTTTTACCTAAATTACAGAATTTACCAGGAACCTAGAAAAGTAAATTATTACTAGTGTTCACTAACTTGGGAGATTTCTGACATAAATTTAGAAGCCTTTCCCGCTAGGATCTTCCTCTTGGTAGTATCTTGCCTTCTTAATATTCTGTAAGATGAATTTTTAAATTTTCCATTCATTCATTCATTCATTCATTCATTAAGCATCAAATCTTTCCCCTTTTCCCATCACTCCTACTCACTTTTAGTATATTGAATATTAATGATTTTTTTAAAAACAGCTTTTTTGAGGTATAACTCACATATTATACTATTTACCTATTTATTTATTTGTTTATTTATTTATTTTTAAAGTAAGCTCTACACCCAATGTGGGGCTTGAACTCATGACCCCAAGTTCAAGAGTCCCATGATCTACCAACTGAGCCAGCCAGGCACCTGTTTACCCATTTTTTAAATTTAAATTCAATTAGCCAACATATAGTACATCATTAATCTATTTACCCATTTAAAGTGTATGGTTCAGTGGTTTTAGTATATTTATAAATACATACAGCCATCACTACAGTGACTTTTAAAACATTTTCACTAACAGATTTTTATAAATATTTCAGCTAAGAAAAATTATAAAAATAGAACCCAACAGAAAACTCTTAGAAGCATTTTCCTAGTACAGAAACAACTCTTGACAAACTTGCAACTTGTCATAGCTACTTGCCAGAGTAGAAGCAAATTCAGTTCTGCCCACGAATTGGTGGAATGAGCAGTTGCTTGTATGTGATCCTGTGGACTTAAGAAAAGTTAAAAGCCTATTTATAACCAGAGGAGCTTCTATACTATATTAAATAGTATCACATATCCTGTAGTCTGATTATGCCATCTGGGAATGTTTCAAAATTCTTTGACAGGATTTTGTGGTTGTCAAAAGATTACTTCCAGATTTAGATTGAAATAAACCTTCTTTAAACCCTAAGTAAGTATCTGATTTCATTTTACACACAAATCACTGTTTTATGTTTCTCAACTCTTACTTAGTGTTCTGGAGTTTTTCCCTCTGAGTGTTTCTTCTTTGTTATCTTTTCTTTCCATTATAATCTTGAGAATTAGAGGTGAATTTCTGTTTTTTGAGTGTCCCTCCACATCACATAGTACAACACAGGCAGTTGATACTTCAGTTCTTGGATACATTAACACAAAACTTTTTTCTTCTCCCTGCTTTAGGCATCATAGGCGAGTATTAGTGGAATGGCTGAAAGATCCATCTCAGGAGCTTGAATTTATTGCTGATATTCTTAATCAGGATGCAAAGAATTATCATGCCTGGCAACATCGACAGTGGGTTATTCAGGTATTGCCTTTCTTGTTAAAATGTTTTTCAGATTGTTTTAACTGAATTAAATAATTAAAATTACTGTTGAATTGTAAGTATACTCCTGAATGAAAACACACATATAGATCATTACAAAATGTAATGACTAAGAATTATTAAGATAATTAATTAAAACCTGACATCCTTCATGCTGATTAATCTTGTAATCTCTCAAGATCTGTTGGTAAGTAGTTTCATATTAAAGAAGAAGAATAGTAACTTTTGTATTTTTTAGATTGAATTTGCATCACATCTTATATTTACTAGCAAATTGAATAGAAAAGGTAGTTGTAATTTTCTAATACAGCTGTGCTATTTTAATTAACAAGGGCATGGCACCTACAGGGGTTTTTTACATACATAAACTTTGGAATATGATTTTACAGTAATAGATAGTATTTTATTTCTGCCCACTTGTTAGAAATTTTATGCTAAACCCTGAATAGAAGAAAACAGTTATTCAGGGTTTAGCATAAAATTCTAACTCCCACTCTGGGCATTTATTTATTTCAGCAAACAATTCTAGTGTTGTTTCCTGTGAATTTTTTCCAGTGATTGCTACTTTGTGCACTATTCATTATACCAAGAGCAGTTAACAAAATTTTTTTTTACTTAAAAATTTAAGCTTTTCTAAATTTGATTAAAGGGACACATTTTCTAAAGATATTTGGTATTTTTGTTTTTTATATGAAATTCTACCCTTTTGCCATTATCAGATAAAAAATATAACTCCAGGGGCACCTGGGTGACTCAGTCATTAGGCATCTGCCTTTGGCTCAGGTCATGATCCCAGGGTCCTGGAATCGAGCCCCGCATCGGGCTCCCTGTTCCACGGGAAGCCTGCTTCTCCCTCTCCCACTCCCCCTGCTTGTGTTTCCTCTCTCACTGTGGCTCTCTCTGTCCAATAAATAAAATCTTAAAAAAAAAAAAGATATATAACTCCATTAGCTTTTTCATAATTAGCATCCCCAACTTTTGCAGCATTTGTAAGTTTTGACTTTTCATTCCTTTTTTAAATTGTCTTTATTGGTTTTCTCCTGCCCATAATTTTTTTTACTAAAACAGCTTTATAACGTAAAAATTTGTATCTAAGTACAGTTGTATATATTTCTCCACATGTATTTTAATGTAATTTTATCATATGTGCATTTTTAATATTTCCCTTTTAATATTATGTATGCATATCAAATCCATCCTGTTAATATACTATACTGTAGTTAATCATTTTCTGAGTTTGGTGTTTTCCGCCTCTAAATTTTCACCTTAATGCATAAGCATTTAGTTACATATACCTTTTTTGCCTGTGATTTAGTCCCCAAGAGAATACTTCTTGGGTCTGTTTAAGTATAAACATGTCTCTTGGTATATAAATTGTTCTCAAGAAGATAGTACCAAATCACAGGCCACTTTGCTCTCTCTTCCTTATTTTTCTCTTTCTTTGTGACCATTCCCTTGTCTTTGATGACTTTTCTTTCCCCTTCCATTTCCTTGACCTGCAACTATCATTTTCCTCCAAATATATGATGAGTCCCACATCTTCACTAGCTTCACTAGCTTTGCTGAAATTTCATTTATTTTTATTTATTTTTTAAGATTTTGTTTATTTGACAGCAAGAGAGCATAAGCAGGGGGAGCAGCAGAGGGGAAGGGAGAAACAGGCTCCCCACTGAGCAGAGAGCCCAATGCGGGGCTCGATCCCAGAACCCTGGGATGGTGACCTGAGCTGAAGGCAGACATTTGACCAACTGAGCCACCCAGGCGCCCCTATTTATTTTTATTTTTTTTATTAATGGGACATTTCTAGGCGCCCCTGGCTAGCTCAGTCAGTGGAGCATGTGACTCTTGATCTTGGGGTTGTTCTTAAAAAAAAAAGTAATGGGACATTTCTAATTGGATATTTTTTCTTTTCTCTTAGGAATTTAAACTTTGGGAAAATGAGCTGCAGTATGTAGACCAACTTCTTAAAGAGGATGTGAGAAATAACTCTGTCTGGAACCAAAGATACTTCGTAATTTCTAACACCACTGGCTACAATGATCGTGCTATATTGGAGAGAGAAGTCCAGTTAGTAATCTCCTTCACTTGTTCACTCATTTTTTTTTTTTTAAGATTTTATTTATTTATTTGTCAGAGAGAGAGAGCACAAGCAGGAGGAGTGGCAGTCAGGGGGAGAATGTGGGACTTGATCCCAGGACCCTGGGATCATGACCTGAGCTGAAGGCAGCTGCTTAACCAACTGACCCACCCAGGCGTCCCTTCACCTGTTCACTCATTAAAAGAGTATTTGTGTGCCTATCATGTCTTGGGCATCGGGGATCCAGCAAAGATCAAGACTGCCCCGGATCCTGCCCTCATTGAACTAATAGGACAGAATACTTAGATGAAATCTATAAGGACAAATTTATAGCTACTGTAGTATACCTCTACATTGTCTTAAGTTTCTTGAAATATTGTTGCTACCACAGATTGAGAAGAAATCAGATTACATAGTGTCTAGGAAGCTTTATTTTAAAACTATCTCCTTAAATTCTGGTGTCCTTTAGATAATAGTCCTCAGGAGCCATGTTACTCTACTGTGCAGGGTTTGGAGCAGGACGTCTTTGTTGTAGGAGGCTGTCTTGTACATTATAGGATGTGGAGTGGCATTCCTAGCCTTTACACCCTATATATCAGCAGTAACCCACTCCCCCCCATGTTGTGACAAACAAAATGTCCCCAGACATGGCCAAATGTCCACTGTGGGGTAAAACTATCCCTAGTTGAAAACTACTGCTTTAGCATGCAAAAAGCTGTTATAAGCGCTAGGATTTTTTGAATTAGAATGAATATTAATATCCATAAACATTAATAGCCACCTCTTTTCTGACTTTGTCTATTGTCTCAGTGTCTGTTTTAGATTTGAATATTATTTATTGTTTTTATAGCCTGATGAGAGCATACTCATAATTTTAATCATAAAAGTTGTCTTAGGGGCTCCTGGCTGGCTCAGTCAGTAGAACATGTGACTCTTGATCTCAGGGTCGTGAGTTTTAAGCCCCATGTTGGGCCTAGAGCTTACTTAAAAAAAATTAAAAATAAAAAAATAAAAGTTGTTTTAACAGCTCCTTGGAAGAGCTGATGTTTATGACCATCTGCCTTCATCTCCCTTTTTTTTTTTAAGATTTTATTTTATTTTTTATTTATTTATTTTTTTAATTTATTTGAGAGAGAGTGAGAGAAAGTACAAGACGGGGTAGGGTCAGAGGGAGGAGCAGACTCCCTGCTGAGCAGGGAGCCTGATGCGGGACTCGATCCAGGACTCCGGGATCATGACCTGAGCCAAAGGCAGTCACTTAACCAACTGAGCCACCCAGGTGCCCCCATCTCCCTTTTTATTACTTCGGTTTGGGTCAGGGCAGCTAGCTTTTCTCTATTCTATATAGGGTTCTGGTGATTTAAATTAAAAGGAAAAGAGATCTATCATCCAGTGTCCTGCATTAACTCTGTCTGCTGTAGGCTTCTTTCTGGAGCAGACACATTCCCCTCAAGCATGTCTCATGCTTTCTTTTTACTGTTCGACTCTTCAAAGCTACGCTGTCTAATATGGTAGTCACTAGCCACATATGGCTACTTAAGTTCAAATTAATTAAAATCACATAATTCCATTCCTCAGTTATATGAATTACTTCTCAGGGGTTACGTACCCACATGTGGCTAATGACTACCATATTGGGCAGCACAGATAAAGAACATTTTCATCATCATAGCAAGTTCTGTTGAATAGTACTGATCTGAGGGGTAACAGTGAACTTACTCTCAAACCTAAATACTGGGGCTTGAGTAGAGAAAATTCAGACTCATCATCCAGCCCTCTATATATTACTTTTTTTTATTTTAGAGTTGGTATTCTATTACAAAAATTAGGACAAAAGCACTCTGAAGGACAGTAAAGTGTCATCCTTTAGATATTTCAGTAGCTTTCTTGCTAAAAGGTAGAATGCTTCAGGTTATTCTTCCTTGAATTAACCCAGTTAATAATTAGGGATTTCAAATACTACATATTCCTTATTTACTATAGCATACTTCATTAGGTTAGGCATAATAAGGTACTTGAAGGTTGAGTATGAAGAATGAAAAATGGAAACTTCTCATAGTTTTCAAAGGCAGATCACTGGTTTTTTATTACCAAATAGAAACAGTCAGTCAAGAATCTAAGAGTTTTCCACGGGCACCTGGCTGGCTCAGTCGGTGGAGCATGCAACTCTTGATCTCGGGGGTTGTGAGTTTGAGCCCCATGTTGGGTATAGAGATTACTTAAAAAGAAAATCTTTAAAAAATTCTTTAAAAAAAAAAGAAATCTAAGAATTTTCCATACTTAAGGCTTATCATACCATTAAGATAGGTAAAAGAAATATTTAAAATGCTAAGAATAGCTGTAGTTATCTAGAATTTAGTTTAACCAGATTTTTTTAACTCTAAAGAGTATAGATTTTTCTGATTATTTTCTGTTTTTTTCCTTTTATTATAAAAGTAATACAGTCTAGTTGTAGGGGGAAACTTCTGAATTGTGTAAAGTAAAACATCAAAATCTCTTATTCTCTCTCTTCCCATACCTCATTCTTTAGAGTGAGCTACAATTAGTGCGGATCCTTCCAAACCTTATTAAAGTACATTTGCAAACATGTATGCACTGCAACATAGGCAATGGTATTATACACATTGCTTTTTTCATTTTATATATCATGGCCGTACTATTAATAATAGTTACCATTTATTTTATTTTATTTATCTATTTTTTAAAGATTTTATTTTATTTAGAGGGAGAGAGAGAGAATCTCCAGCAGACTCTGCACTGAGCGTGGAGCCCAACACAGGGCTCAATTCCACAACACTGAGATCATGACCCGAGCCGAAATTAAGAGTCCAATGCTCAAACGATTGAGCCACCCAGGGGCCTCAACAGTTACCATTTTATTAAGCATTTACTACATGCTAGGAATTCTTATTTAATTTTCATAACACTGGGATACTTGGTAAGGAACTTGAGGTTCAGAGTAGTTCTATAGTGTGCCTAAGAGCACACAGATAATAATTGATGGGGCTAAGATTAGAATCTAAGCAGTCTGGGGCACCCAACCACTTCAGTGGGTAGAGCATGCAACTCTTGATCTTGGGGTCGTGAGTCCGAGGAGTTGTGAGTTCAGGTACTATGTTGGGTATAGAGATTACTTAAAACAACAAAAACAACAACAACAAAAAAGACAAAGAAGCTAGGCACTCTGACCTCAAAGTGCATGTTTTAACCATTAAAATAGATCATGCTTTAGTGCATAGGTATATGAATAAAATTCTTTAGGTATTGCCAAAATGAAATAAGAATCTTCTACAATGCCTAGTGAAAACATGCAGGGACATGGTTTGAAAAATAACTGGAAATACTAGTTTATGTAAAATTAGTTGAAAAAAACTTTTTCATAGTGCTGGATGAGTTTATCATTCTAGTATTCCTCCCTTACCTGCAGTCTTGCCTTCCGCAGTTTCAGTTACTCATGGCAGCTTTAGTCCAGAAGCATATGATCCTCCTGAGGACATATGTGTGGTGAGACATTAGGTAGTAGAGCCTAACGCTACATCACAATGCCTGTCATTCACCTTACCTCATCTTATCATGTAGGCATTGTCTTAAATCATCACAAGAAGGGTGAGTACAGTCTAATAAGGTATTTTGAGAGAGATTACATTCATATAACTTTTATTACAATGAGTATATTATGATCTATTTATTAATTGTTAATCTCTTAGTGTGCCTATAAATTAAGCTTTATCATAGGTATGGAGGTATAGGAGAAAACATGGTATATATAGGATTTGATACTCTGGTTTCAGGTGTCTACTGGGCGTTTGGGAACCTACCCTATGGAGAAAGGTGGACTACTGTACTCTCTGGGGAAAAAAAATGCCTTCGTAACAGTAATGAAACAATAAATAAAAATAAATAAAACAGCAATAAAACCAAGATTACTAAATTTTAGTCAGTGAGTGACTTACTCATTTGAGCAAGTATGTAGTGAAGCTAAATTCTGTCACTCCCTTGGAATTTGTTGTAATTGGATCTAAATTGTACTTAATAATCTGGTTAAAGGGAAAAGAAAGGGATTGTCCATTTTGACTGGTGATCACATCATAGTTAACTAGTAATCTTGTTTCAGAATATAAGAAATACACATTTGTGTTGATTTCTTATTTTTATTCTTTGTCTATAGAATTTCCATGCTATTTTTTATTACAGCTCCTAAGATTATATAGTTCTCCTTTTTGAATGACTTAAATTGGGCATAAGTAGATCTTAGACTTTTTCTCAAGATTGCTTTACCAATAAAAGGAAAGCCTGTTTTAGCTGACATTTTCTTCAAAGGGAAAGCCTAAATTAAAGGAAATCCTCCACATCAGTTTATTTTCCTGTTGTGAATTGAGCCTTCATATTAGTTAGGTGTCCTTTCCCAGAATTGGTTACAAACTTACAGGAGGGAGGAACTATGTAACTATGAATTGAAAACTGCTGACTTGAAGGATTCTCTCTAATTTAGATACGACCTAGACCTAGTCATAGCCCACTAAGATAAATGAAAGCACATATCCAAGCTGTGCCACAATCTTATTAAAACTGTTTCTAACTATTGCACTGCTCTTAAAATTACACATATTTCTTCTTTGTGGTCTTTTTCTTATAGGTACACTCTAGAAATGATCAAATTAGTACCACATAATGAAAGTGCATGGAACTATTTGAAAGGGTAAGAGGTTGTTTTGGATTGTTTTATATAAAAACCACCTGCTAATATGATGTATCATGGAATATATTCCATTAATCAGATTCCAGAATGATACTAAAGAATTATCCATTTTTCTGGATATAAGTGTACCAGTGTTAGATGGTGACACCCAGGAACAGTGCCTTCTAGCCTTCAGCCCCCAAGCACATACCAGCACAGTTTTTGGAATAGTCCATGACTAAACAGTAATAGAGTTATAACTGTATTTATGAATCCTATAGTCTTTATCTCAAAGAATGGGATATACACACTTAGTTTCTGTTTGGCCCAGGAACATAATAAAGACAAAGCAAACTATTTACAAGCAGGTTGCACAGATGCATAGCCAACCTTTCTGTTTTCATTTCTAGAGATCTCCTGTTAAAAGTCTCATTCCTTAAATTGACAAGGTTTCACTTGCCTGGCTACTGACACAACCAGGCTCCTTTTTGAGCTTAGAGGTCTCCCTGGAAACTAGGCCCAAAGAACATAAAGTATGGAGCCCAGTCACATTTGGAGATATATCCAGGGTTGGGGCCTGTAACATCTGGAGAGCTAAAAGAATAAGGAACCATCTCAAGAAGAAACAAACGTCTCTCTTGTTTTCTTCCTTCACTTTTTTAATTTTAAGAAGATGGTTTATTTTCTGATTTAATTGTGTATTGCAGTTTGAGTTATAAATGATCACTTTTAAGTTTCATTATTCTTTTTAACTAATTACACTCAGCTCATAATTATCCATAATAAAACTCACACATAATTTAAAATTTTCATTTAGTTTCAACTTCATTCAAAATAAGTCTTCTCTCTTGCTCGTGTTACAGAGGTCATTTTCTTATGATCTTTCTATTATTTTTGTTCTTCTCAAAATTGAGAATAATTTTTTTTTAGGATTTTACAGGATCGTGGTCTTTCCAAATATCCAAATCTGTTAAATCAGTTACTTGATTTACAACCAAGTCACAGTTCCCCCTACCTAATTGCCTTTCTCGTGGATATCTATGAAGACATGCTAGAAAACCAATGTGACAACAAGGAGGACATTCTTAATAAAGCATTAGAGGTAAGTCAGTAGAACTCTGTTCTTGGTATCTCAGAATTTGTTCTGCCCAATGCCACTATATTCATACCCTTTTCAGCATGTTCACTCAAGAGTTCAGTGCAGGACTATTTCCACTGTTTAGGGCAAAACCCACATCACTAGTGAACACAGTGTATGATTATAATGATTTATCTCATTTGAACATGATCTCAGTTTAACTGTGTTGGCTCAAAAGCATTTGCCCTAGAGATTGATTTACACATTATCTTCAAAGAATTTTTGTTTTTCATTTTCAGTTGTGTGAAATTCTAGCTAAAGAAAAGGACACTATAAGAAAAGAATATTGGAGATATATTGGAAGATCCCTTCAAAGCAAACACAGCACAG